GCCAGAAGTGCGTTCAGACTTTTAGACATGCTTGTGGCATGTGCGGTCACTGCATCAGGAGATGCCGTTTTCGTTGAAGAAACTGCTTCTTTTTCGACACCCTCAGATTTCGACTGATCAGACTGTGCTGTCTGTAAGTGCAGCAACGTGTTATGCTTACGAGAGCACGTTCTGCAACCCCCATATGTGCATTTACTTGAAGAATGCGCGGTCGAACGCAGACAGTTCAGGCAAACTTTACGAGTACGAACCTCTGCTATTCGCTTAGGGATTGGAAGTGCTAAAAATTGAGTGCATTGATACATGAAGTGTGCGCCTTGGCAATATTCACACTTCGCCTTGAAAGCACTATTGCAAGATGCCCTTTGTTTATTTGTATTTGATCGCAAATGGGCAGGTTTCGATGCGGAACTAGCTGATTTATCTGTTGATTCCAGAACTCTACATCGATGCGACAAGAAGTCAAATAATTGCTTCAAGGTGGGCAATTCCGAGCCCTCGAGTGTAGATTGCCATTCACGAGCCGTGTTCGTATCAAATTTAGAACCGACAATATACACTAAGATATCGTCCCACTGGTCTGTCGGACGTTTCAAGGCGCGTAGCGCTTGTACGTGACGCGTAGCGCTATCCGTAATTTGCCGTAATTCGGCGGCGTTTTCCTTATGCATTACTGGGAGATCGACTATTGCTCGGATATGGTTCTGAACTATCGTACGCTTATTATCATATCTTTCTTTTAAAAGTTCCCACGACACGGCGTAGTTGACATCCAAAATTTCGAGCGAGTTAATAACTGCACTCGCGTCTCCCGTAACCGCGGCTCTCAGATACTGTAACTTATGGATATTACTAAGCGATGTGTTTGCATGTATGATCGCGACAAAAGAATCGTGGAAGGGGAACCACTCGTCATATGACCCTGAGAATTTAGGTAAATCAAGCTTGGGCAAGCGAAAGCTACACGATGACCCCGAAGCTTGTGTATCGGTTGCTGACGAAGACGGCGTCGCGATAGGAATTGCGCTTGTAACGGGTCTTATTAAATCTCGCATTCTAGCCGACAAATCGTAATACGCCTGTTCGAACGCGACTCTGTCATTAGCTTCCGCCTCGTCAATAATTTCCAACTGAGATTGCAGATTATTATATTCCTCCCAGTGCCGATTTAACTTATCTTTACGTTCCTCGATATGTGATCTCGTCGCAGGCGAGCTTGTATCGACGGAATCTACATAAGTACGTATCCGCGTACATGCAGATTTAAGTATCGTACGACGTTTTTTAAGACTCGCGAAGTCCGATTCACTAGCCATTCTAACGGATTTCTGATCGAATATTGCCACTGAACAATTTTCGTACCTGTGTAAACACGCTCGACGTGTATTAATGCGCGCGCTGTGGCGTCGTGCGCCGAAGAGGGATGAGATGGGCCCAAGAAGAAGCTGACGCAATATGGCGGCTGAACCTCGTTCGTCGTCCGTGCGCCTGTCGTATGTCCTGTTGCAGGAATGCTCTACGCAGGCCGCGCTGGAGACCTTTGTGCTTGGCTGCTCACCGAGGTTGACTCACTGGCTCGGCAGGATCCAGGGTGGCGTATATGAGACGAGATGCAATGTGGCAATGACCGCCGAATTTTCGTAATGCTGCCGAAAATTCGTTAGAGAGCTTCCGAGATAGCAGGCTCTCTTAATGCTTGTATTGTGGCGACGACAATGCTCGGATGCGATATGCTGACCATCCGGCTCGAAGGACCAAATGTTAAATCTTCTTTGAGGAGAAGAATGCGGGACTTGCGTGCCCTCCACGTGCTCACCGGG